TTCATTTTCATTGTCCTTCTAAAGAACCCAGTCTATCTGCTGCTTGGAGGAATTCTTGCATTCTGTTAATAGCCCAGGCACTCCGGGTCTTGTGGGTTAACATTTGCACAAGGTATATTTTCCACCTTTGAACTTCCAACTTCTCAGTTTTAGGGATATTTTTGTAAACAGCTTGTATGAATATATTGCATGAGTGTTTTGCCTGCTGTATGTTTATGCAGGTCCCACAGAGGTCAGAAGAGGGCTTCAGATCTGCTAGCTGGAGGTATGGATGATTGTGAGCCACCATACGGACGCTGGGAACTGAACTCTGGTCCTTTGCAAGAACAGGTGCTCTTAACCACTGAGCCATCACTCCAGCCCTGTCTATGTATTTTAAATACAGCCAGAAAAGTTTTGCATTTTCATACAAGAACGTCTCCCAGTTTCAAAGTCTGTGGCCATTTATGTCTGTTTTTTTCTCCCTCACAGCATCTGACAAGGTTTAGCTTTGTGGCGATACACACTTACACACTTGCGCTCCATTTTTATTTACGGCCACACGACATCCCATTGGCTTCACCAAGCATCGTCCGTGCATTTATCACTTGATGTCGATTGAGTGGTTTCTGCTTTTAGGCCACTGTGGAAAATGCTGCCACAAACATTTATGTGCCGGAACTTACTTGAATGAATGCTTGTTTTCGACTCTTGTGGATATCTAACCAGCGGTGGAGCTGTAGGGTAATAAAATCACCATTGTTTGGGAACCTGTCAACCTGTTTTCCACAGCAATGTGGGGGATTCTGATTGTCCATGTCTGTATCAATCTTGGTTATTTTCTACTTTTTCTTCTAACCATCTTATTGGGAGAAAGTGATGTCTCATATTTTGATTTGCAATTCCCTCATGACGCATCTCTTTATATGCTTATTGGCCACTTGTATAACTTCTCTGAAGCAATCTACTCAGTCAGCCTATTTAAAAAACACGGTTGTGGGGCTGGAGAGAGGACTCAGCGGTTAAGAGCACTGGCTGCTCTTCCAGAGGACCTGGGTTTGATCCCCAGCACCCACATGGTGACTCACAACCATCTGTAACTCCAGTCTCAGGGGATCTGATGTCTCTTATGACCTGAGGGCTCCTGCACACATGTGATGCACATACATGCAAACGCCCATACACGTAAGTTAAAAACAAACCAGGTTGTCTATTGTTGATGAGTTTCAAGACCTCTTTAGAGGGGCTGGGACACAGCTCAGTGGTGGAATGTTTGCTAAGCATGCCTAAGGCTCTGATCTCAATCAGCACCGGCACTGATAGAAAGCCCCAAACAACCTTATGTGTATGTTTAATACATTCCAGACACCAGACCCTAACCATGCATGGAATTTGCAATTCCTTCTCCATTGAGCTTTTCCATGTACTTGGTAGTGTCGTCAGAAGCATAAGACCTCAACACTTGATAAAACTCTTGGCTGTTTGTATTTTAGAAAATACTGAATCTGAGATTATGCACTTACATAAGTCTTTGTGGACAAATCCCTTAGATTTTTTTTAACCCACTTAAGGCTAATCCTTGTATATAGCATGAGGTAAGGATCCAAATTCATTTTTTCCCCCACGTGGGCATCCAGTTGTTGAAGGTAACTCTCTGGTGAATGGCATTAGCATACTTGTTGAAGATGGATTACAAGTGAATGCTTATTTCTGGACTCTCAGCTCTAGTCCATTGCTTAAGAACAGAGAAAAAACAGCTTTGTTGAAGTGTTCTCTTACTTTTTGGAAGAAATTTGTGAAGAATTGCTATCATTCCTTTTAAAATTTTTGTTAAGATTTATAAGTGTCCTGGGCAAGTGTTTTTTAATTTTATTGTTATTTTACAGATTTGATCTTTTAATCTATTTAGGTTTCTTTTGAGTCAGTTTCTGTAGTCTTCTCAGGAACTTACTGATTTCATTAGCTTATTAATTTTTTGACAGTCTTATTACTTAGCCCATGAACTCATGATTGTCCTGCTTCCATCTCACAAGAGCTGGGATTAGGGGCTTGGAACCCTAGGCCCAGCTCCTTAGCTTCCTTATTTTGTGGTTTGAATAAGAGTGACCCCCACGGGTTCATATATTTGAATGCTTAGGGAGTAGCACTATTTGAAAGGATTAGGAGGTGTGGCCTTGTTGGAGGAAGTGTGTCACAGGGGTAGGCTTTGTGGTTTCAAAAGCTTAAGCCAGGCCCTGTGGCTCTTCTCTGCTGCCTGCAGATCTGGATGTAGAATTCTCAGCTCCTTCTCCAGCACCTTTTCTACCTGCATGCCACCATGTTTCCCGCCATGCTGATAATGGACTAAACCTCTGAACTGTAAGCCAGCCCCAATGAAGGGCTTTCCTTTATAAGAGCTACCATGGTCACGGTGTCTCTTCTCAGCTATAGAACCTGTTTACTATGATGTATTCTTATCCCTTTCTGCATTCCTGCTTTTAGTAATTTAAATATTTTTCCCTATTTCCTCAGTCAGTATTGATATAAGCTTGTCACTTTTGTTGACCTTTTCAAAGAACCAACTTTGGGTTTCACTGGTTTTTTGGATTTTTTTTTGATCACTTGTTTCTGCTTTCATCTTTCGTTTCTTTCCCTCTATTTGCTATGGGTTTTCTGTTTTCTAGTTTCCTAAATTGCAAAGTTAGGTTACTGACTTGCTATCTTTCAAACATTTTTAACAAAAAAACTGTGAGCCAGAGACAGGGCTCAGCGGTCGCTTGCTGTTCTTCCAGAATACACACCAGCAGCAGCACACTTTAGAAAATATCTAGGATCTTATTATAATATAACTTACTGTGCAAGTTCTGTTATGTTTCAATTTTACTTCATTATATACTACCTTTTTAAATTTTTAAATGATTTATTTTTATTTTATGTGCGTTGATGTTTTTCCTGCAAGGGGTGTCAGATACCCTGAGCTACAAACAATTGTGAGCTATCATGTGGTTGCTGGGAATTGAACTCAGGTCCTCTGGAAGTGGCCAGTGCTCTTAACTGCTAAGCCATCTCTCTAGCCCCTCATTTCAAATTACTTTCTAATTACTCTGTGGTTTCTTCTTTGGACAACTGAATAAGTCAGGAAGGTGTTGTTGATTTTGCAATGTTTTGGTAATTGGTCTCCTTTCATCCTATTGTGAAGGGCACATGGTTTTTGTACCGTCTTTGGTTGGGGATTGCTCTAATGTGCTAGGTCAATGTTTAAGAATATGTAAGTCTCTGCCCTTGTTATCTCCTATCCTAACATGTTTAATACAGGAGATGCATTTATTTTTGCCCAGTTCTAGAATGCAGTGTGAACTTTACAAAAATAGAAATGTTAAAACTTACTAAATCTATGATTTTATTTCTACCCCACTCAAAGTAACTATATAGTCCTTGCTGGCCTGGACTTGTAGGCCTTGAACCTAGACATGATCCTCTTCTGGAAACACAGGATGGTGCTCCATCATACCCAGCTTGCTTGAGAGTTTGTGGAGTGGCTCCTGTAACATTTGGGATTCATATCTGTTTTCTCTGGGCTAAAACTGAAGACAATATAAAGCACCTAGTAAATGAAGACTGAGGGGCATATAAAACTCAGCTGAGCACTGCCCCATCTCTGACTGGTGGGGGTTTTTGTTGGTTACCTGGAAGGTGCTTCCAAGAGCCCTGGCATAGAGAGGTGGCAGACCTTCCCTTTGGCAGTATCCCTTGCATCCTGGGGGCTAGAGTTGAAGGACAGAGGCAGGCACAGGTGCATCTCTAGGAACAGGTATTCCCATTTTTTGTTTTTATTTATGCTTTTCTTCTCTTAGGTTGGATCCTTGAATCACAGAGTGGCCAAGAAGTTTTAAGTCTATATTAAAATCACCCATTGCCCTTTCACCAAAGCAGATAGTTGCTAGATCGTTCAGAGACACTGTTTAGAACACTGTCTACAGGGCCAGGGCCTCCTGGGGTGGAGCTGGCTAGGTAACTACTTAGTGAAGGCCACTTTTGAATGCTTGGCTGCTACAGCTTCCAACGATGCAGAAATAGCTTGTGGACAGACCACCATAATTTTCTTATTCAGCTCAATGCTTTTCTTAGTTTTTAATTTTGAATCCAACTAGGCCTCAACCCACTCACCCTGCCCCATCTCTTCTACCCAGAGTTGTTTGCTCAAAGGGTGCCAAGAAGGGCCATTCTTCCCCCATGTTGGAGTACAGACAAATTGACTGTATCGGGCCATTCTTCCCCCATGCCTAGCCAGCTAGCTTTGTGTGGGCAGGGTATCGGGTTTTTTTTTTTTAAGCTACTTAGACCATTAAAAATACAACCTGAAGAGAAACCATTTTCATCTTGACAGGAGCTCTCGAAGTATACTTTTCCTAGGGCCTGGCCACCAAGAGGCTGAGAAATGATGCTGCCCAGTGCCCCTGGGTTCCGTTTTCTTACAATGACTTGGATGACAAACAAGTGTGTGTGATCAGTGTCTGCTCTCTCAAGTCCTGGGTAGCACCGCAGGATGGCAGTATCCAACTGTCCCAGGCCTTTCCTCTCCCTTCCTCTCCTGGACTCCCTGTGATATCCCATAGTTTCTGCTCAGGCACACCTTCCCACACATTTGCTAGGGCACAAACCCAGGGCTGTCTCACAAGCTTCAGATGATTCACCCCTTGGGACAGGAAAGTCATGGGCTAGATCAAGTTGTCCATGAAAGAACACAGTAAGAGAAGCCATGAGGCAGGCAGGAGAGGCAGTGGCAGACCCAGCCGACGGGGCTCAGGGCCCTTTAAAGCATCACTGTTTTGTAGGTGCCAATGTGGTGAAATACACTTCCCTTCCTTTGGAGCAGTCACACTATCCATCCAGGAGAACGTGAGAATAGCCGTGGACAGTGGGCTGCATCCTGTGCGCCAAACACCAATGTTTATGTACATTTGTGAACCTCACAGAAAACCCCAGAGAAAATGCCCCCACAGGAAATCTGGCAAGGGAAGAATTCATTGAGAAACATTCCCATTTGTTAAGAAATATTAGTTTTATTTAACCAGTTTTCACAGCTGAATATTTATTCTATAAAAACTTTACAGATTGTACAGTTTATATATAGTTCAAACTACTGAACAAAAGAGTAGGTCCCACAGATGCAAAAATACTGTACCAACCCATCCACGGTAAAGGCAGATTTACACACTGCACAGCGCTCTTCACGGCTGGGAGGCGTCAGTTCTGAGTATAAACTTCAAAACTGTACAAAAATAAGGTTTCCATTTTATTTCAATCTTCATACATTCAATATGCTTGCAAGCCCAGAAGCCTAAGTAGTCATAGGCGCCTGTAGTCAGGAATCAGTCCCCACTCCACGGGGTACTCGTGAACACGATACTGTGCACAGTATACGGCAGACATCAAAGCAGAGACCGCAAACGATAAATGTCCAATATAAGGTAGTTCTTTTCTGGTTTGAAAGGAGTTTCTGTGTTTAATAGTGTGCCAAGAGAATTTTAAATTAAATAAAATATATTCTAAGTGAACCTAAAAATTACACTTTATAAACATAAAAATACTTTTTTTGGTGTAATACATCAATCATATCTGCAGATAGACAAACAAAACTATGCAAAGTAGTATTTCTCACCCAGCCACAAGAAGCACTTACGTAGTTATTTTTTGAAAGAGTCAGGAAAACTATTTAAACCCACTAGTGCTAATTCATAACTTAGCAAGTAGCACTCAAGCTATGGAGGGATTCACGGACACTGAACCATTCGATTTCCTCCACAGACACTGATTGCTTCATGTTAGCTGGGTAAGAACGGAACACATTAAGAAAGGGAGAATTGGTGGTCATCTCAGCATGAACCCACAGTTCATGTAGGATTTTCCATCAATGATGCTTTTCCTACAAAACTGGTTTTAATTCTGATTAGACTTTTTTCAGCACTGAGGTACTTGTACTGCCCCTGCCCCTGCCCTCCTAGATGCAGGGACACGTTTCAGATATTTCTGTATCTGTTTAGGTAGAGGGAGGGGGATGAGGCTGGCTTGCACTCTTTAGGGTCTGTGATCTAGGTTTAAAAAAAAAAACCAAAACCAAATGAGTAAAACAAACGTTATTGCAAACTCTTCTGTCACCCAAAATGAAAACATAATTCCTTTAAAAAACACAACAAAAACCCCACAACTAGCTTCCAAGGAAATCAGAGCTTCTAAAAGCAGCCTGATGCTCAATTACATTTTTATACTGTGTATACATGAGTATAAAATAACGACATTTGGACAAAGAAGCTTTGTAGTTACTTTAAAGTTACAGTACTTAAAAACTCCTCGGTAATAAATAGCTTGGATGTTTCCAGTCCTGCTTCCAAGCACGAGCTCCTGGTGAGGATGACTGTGGCAATGGGGAGCCACTGAAGTCCTGCTCAGTCTGCCAATCAAAACTCATCAATTTTTCTCTGCAAGTACTTCAACATGGAGTCCATGCCCTGGGCGGAGCCCCAGATCTTCTTCAGCACTTCACATTCCCTCTCGTTGGCCTGCTCCAGCTCCACCTTCATGTTACAGCGGACCAAGGCTTTGGATTCCTCCAGGACCTGTAGCAGTGATGAACGAGAAAGGAGGTTGGTTGTTCATAGGCACTAAACCTTTCCTCACACGCAGGACAGCAACCATTAAATCTTTACGTGTCACTCACAGCTTAGTATAGTTAGCCCTGCATACTCGTGAGTTCCAAATCTCTGGGACTCAATCAACCTTGGACTGAAAATATGCAAAAAAACAAAAACAAAAACATCTAACCAAATATACACTTTCCTATCTCAAAATCCAGCAGAGCCCTTACTCACAAAGCAATGAATGCGCTCTAACAGGACTGTGTGTCATCTAGAGATGACTGAAGTATATGCAGAGGTGCATGTGGTGTAGAGGATTTCAACACTAGTGGATTCTGGTATCCATGGCAGAGCGATGGATCATGGGTACAGAGGGATGCTGGGATATTTAACATTGGATACTGAAATTTGAAATGGCTCAAGTTATTTCAATAGAGGTGGTCTGTTACACACCACTACTGCTATGGGATGGTGTGGAGCCCTGAGTGGATATCTACTCTACTGAAGCTCAATGAAATTTCCCAGAGTGACCGTGGATGGAATTTTCTAAAGAAAACACAGCTTACTTTTAACTATGACAGTTGCTCGTCTATCTACATGAGCTTAGAAAGTTGGATCGATCACTTGAAATATTTCACACACCACACCACTAAATGCAGTGTTAGGAGACTCAGTATTCAGTACATTTACTAAACAAAACCCCTAGGCCTCCATGTATGTGTACCTAAGCACGTGATGAAGTGTAAGGACTTTGCAGACAGTAAGAAATGGTTATCACTGGATAGGCTGCGGGAAGTATTGAGTTTCACACTGGCATCCATTTCTACAACGAAGACCACGCAAACAGATCTGGAACATGGTACAAGTCTAATTTAATCTGTGAAGGAAAAGGTTCTCTTTATTTAAAAACAAACAGAAAACAAACAAGTAAAAAAACTATTTTGACGTACAACTGGGTTACACGAGGCCAGCTCCTTGATGCGAACCATGACTTCCTGGGTGAAGGTACCTGGCCAAAACACCTGGGAGACCAGGCCCTTGCCACACGCCTCCTGAGCCGTCAACTTACGCCCACTGAGCAGCATTTCATTTGCCTACAATGAAAAAGAGTAGACGTGATGTGAAACATGAGGGGAGGTGGATGGAGAAGATGTCTTGGAAATTCAACCCTCAGAAATCCAAGCTGATGATGGGTTTTTGAAGATGTTAGAATCTGCCTCATGTCCTTTAGTGCCCACTAAGCACAGACCATGGACAAAGCATGACCAAGTGGCTGGACTGAAGAGTAACACCCCGGGCCAGTTAAAAAAAATAAAAGAAAAAGGCCTGCTTCACGATGTAATTCAGAGTCATGTGGACTTGGATGAAATTCAAGTTAGAGGCTTTTTTGTGGTAAACTTGAGGACGGTGGTGTAACTTCCTCTTTTATATGAGATTCTTCTCTTGATGCTGGTCTTTTCCACACAAGTGAACTCATTTAAAATTCAACCTGGGTACCTGAGTCAGTAATTCATGTTCTAAAGGAACCGAACCCAATATGAAACTTCATTTTCCCATGGATTCCTTTCTCAACAATGTTTAAAGGCAGTGTGGCATGTCACTGCTGAAGAGTCACACTTCAGAAGTCACACTGTCATACAGATACCAACTATCCAGGGGGACTGAGTGTACCTCAGTTGCTGCCACCCATCTTAAGAGGTTCTGAGTTACTTTACAAGGTTTACTTGAGAAAACCAATGTAACTTTGCTTTTAAAAACAAGAGAGGTATATACTGGATTAGAGGCCACTGTTCCCATCCTGGCATTAGGTGTATGGCATCATCAACAACAACCTCACAGTTGCCCTGGCAGGCTAAGGAGGTCTGCCTAGCAACTGATGTGCCCATGTCCCACCTGTGGGTTGTCTTGCACAGATAATTTTGCTGAGATTCCAATGGTCTCGATGAGGCCCAGATAAATATACTCTAGATGCGCCTTTCTTGAGAGGCAAAAATTACACAGAGGCCCTCCAGTGACCAAATGCAATTCCGGATCACACGGAATATTTGAGTCTGGTAATCCACAGAGCAAACAACACACAATGGAGATAAGTGTACAGCTGACTCTGTACTTCTAACAGGGCAGACACTGTAAACAGATGTGTGTGCCGTAGGTGCAGACTCCTCACAAGAGTCTGCAAGGTTTTGAGGGCATCATTCAAGTGTAGATGGCCATTTCAGCTCAGTTATGAACACACAAGCCTGCAACTTTCTCTGATGAACAGTCCCTCTCAGTGAAGAGATGATCCATAAACATCTAAAAAAAACCCTGATTTGACTTTATTTGGGTAGTTAACTTTCCCCACAGGAATACTCTAGGGAGGTAAGAAAGGGTGAGAGAGGGCCCCCGATGTCACAGGCAGTAGGAAGAGCTCTAAAGCACCCAGAATGTTCTTTCTTTGGAGATGACACCACCAGCACGTAAGTTAAACATGTCCTCAACACAGCAGATACTAATGAACTTGCCAGGCCGAGGAAGCCCATCTTGATCATTTCTTCCCAGGCTTTCCCTTGGGCCCATCTGTCCTTAGTCATTCCCTCCTCCCCACCTTGGAGACACAGACCAGACCAGCCTTGTACTCACGATCCTCTGGCTCCAGCCTCCCAACACACCCTACTTCAGACACGCCACTTGCTGCCTCTGAAAGACAACTCACAGCCCTGGGCACAGCTCACTTCCTGCGTCCATCTCTTTTCCTCGTGTTGTCTGTTTGGGCCAATCACAACTGCCTTTGCTCTGGCCTATACACTGTCTTGGCACCTCGTCCCCCTTCTCTTGGCTTGCATGGCTCTGCATCCATTTGTTACTAGACAGTTTTTACGGTCTGTGGTCCCCCCACCCCCATTTCACATGGGTAGGATGTGCAGGACAATAAAAGGAATTTTAATTTACCCAAGAGTGTAAAACAGGACTGATTCAAGACTGTGAATGCATCCCATGTAAAGAGCAGTGAGTCAGTTTAAAATAGAGGCATGAAGAACCAACAAATCACAATCACCCACAACCCAAATCCAACTACCACCACCAAACAAAAACCCATTAAGAAAACCCATTTCCATGGTCAGACCATACAGACTGAGTCCCACCCCGCCACTCTGCAGTAGTCTTAAAATAGGAAGTTAGTTAGGAGGCGCGGGGAAGAAGACGTCAGTTCAGACTGCTTCAAGGTGTAAGAGGAATGCTCTTGTGGGTGAACGAGGGGTTAGGAATCAGCCCTTAGCTTGCACACAGAGGAGGATCTGGTAGGAAAAGGTGCACAGATGGGGGCCTGTGTCTGAGCCCAGACCTTCCTTCCTGTTCTCCTTAGCAAAGCCTACCTAAAGCACCACTACTGCACTGGCCCTGAATTATTTCCCGAGCATACAGGGGTGAGGATTCTTAAGAGGGGACTGTGAAGGGTGTAAGGTGCACAGTAGGTACTCCATGGATGTCTGCTGGGGGTGGTGGTGGTAGACTGCAGGGCAACACACTCCGAGGCTAAAGCCACACCCACCAGCAGCTAGGCAGGCAAGTGTCTGGTCCCCGTGGGACACACTGAGGAAGGCTCACACAACTTGTCTCATTGTACGCCATTTTCTTCTGACAATGGTATTCCTTCAGTTAATCCTCCTGGCAGAATTTGTACACACCAAGTAGGGAAAGCCAAACTTGTCCCACGCTCAAAATTCAAATGTACCAAAATGCCACAAAAGAAAGTGTATCATTTTAAGAGTCACTTTCAACAAGAGCTGTTGCCAATACAAGTCACCTCAGTAGTATTGGGTTACTTGTTGCATAGGCGTTAGTCAAACGCTGTTCATAAGGTGGGGATTTACACTGTATGGGGGGGATGGCTCTCTGCTGCTTCAGAGGAGGGCTTCCCCAGGCTCTAGAGGATATCCTGGACTCCAGCAAGTGTTTGGGGTAGTCCTGTTTTGGAGGATGAGGAGTGCCAACACTGACTTCTAATGACTAGTATCTTCAATTGTAGAATCCTGAAATGTCTCCAGCCATGGCTATATGCCATACGTAACCACAGTGGAGTATAGCTATACCATCAGATTCCAAGTTGAGGCAAAGAGCAATTATTGGTCAGGACTCATCTACCAAATATACCACCCACAAAGGAGTAGGTGTTCAAATGGACTGATTTAAGCCATCCTTCGGGAAATGTTCCAAGGCTAGCAAATTCTTTAAATTTTAAAATTGTATTTATTTGGTGTGTGTGTGTGTGTGTGTGAGTGAGTGAGTGAGAGAGAGAGAGAGAGAGAGAGAGAGAGAGAGAGAGAGAGAGAGAGAGAGAGAGAGAGAGAGAATGCCCATTGCCATGCATTTATGGAAAGCAGAGGACAGCTTGTAGGAGTTGGCTTTGTCCTTCCATCATGTGAATCCCAAGCATTGAACTCAGGCACACCTGCCGAGCCATCTCATTGGCCCAAAGCTTGTGAACTCTTGAAGTCTCCACATGGCTAGCATTTGGTTCAAGGGATCCAATTCTAAAAATGTAGCTGCTCAGTGGTATATTCGTGTCTAAGATCATTCATCTCCTCCAGATGAGCCCTCTGTGTGCACCTTTACCCATTACACATGTACAAAGAGCCGACAACACAGGGAGAGCACACTACCAGATTTTCAAATTTAGCTTTGACAATGGTTCTCAATCTGCCTAACGCTGTGACCCTTTAATAGTATTCCTCATGTTGTGTGACCCCAATCATAAAATTATTTTCATTGCTACTTCATAACTGTAATTTTGCTACTGTTATGGCTCAGAATGTAAATATCTGTGTTTTCTGATGGTCTTAGGTGACCCCTGTGAAGGAGTCATTTGACCCCCAAGGGGTCATGAGGTTGAGAACTGCTGGCTTAATAGGTGGTAAGAACTTTTTATTGCCAGAACTGGAAATAACTGTTGTCAAATGATTTACTTTAGCAACAGCTCACAACAAACCTAAAACTGACTTTACTGGTAATGAATGACCTATGATTAATCTTGGTTGTCAACTCGATGGGATATAGAATCATTATGGAAACCAATGTCTACAAGGGATTTGCTAGTTTAAGTCAAGAAAGGTCAGAAGATCCACCGTAAATGTTGGTGACACTACTCCCTGGGATGGGGTCCTGCAGTGAAAGAAAGTGAGAAAAGGAGCTGAATTGCAGCACTCATCTCTCTGCTCTTTGACTGTGAATACAATGTGGCTGGTATCTGAAGCTCCCCCTGCCATGATGGCCTGCATGCCCCAACTGTGAACTGAAACAAACCCTTCAAACTGTTTTGTTAGATATTTTGTTCCAGTAATACAGAAAATGAACCCTTGGGATCAGAAGTGGGTTTGTTACTGAGATAACCCTGATCGTGTGGTTAGACTTTTGAACCAGACAATCCTTAGGATGCTGTAAAAAGGGCTTAGTTAAGTTATTCTGGTAGAGTTTAGAAGACCAGAGTGCTGAGAGAACAGGGACAGTGGAGACCTGGCTCCTGGGGCTGCTGAGATCAACAAGAACTCTATAGAGAACTGGCGAAAGGCCATTCATGTAATACTCTAGCCAATAATCTGGATGCACTTCCCTCTGGTCCCAAAACTTGAGTGAGGCTGAATACAGAATAGACTCATCTGCTTGGTGGAGGAGCTACCAAAACAGGACAGCACTCTGGTGGGTGGTAATGCCACAGCTCACCGCTCCCACTCAGGTTCACAGTGTGAGAGCAGGAAGAGGAGCAGAAACATCATGAAAAACCCAGAGTTTAATGAAGTAAAGGACACAAGTGAGTTTAAAGCCAACACACAAGGCAGATGTAATTGTTACAGGGATCAAAGAGAAACCTCACACTCTGCCCTGAGACATCAGGAACGGTGCCCTGTAGGCAAGACTACTTGAAGGCTCTAACTTCTAAGAGGTCAGATTCATTTGAAAGGAGAGCCTGAAGTGAGAATGCTGAAGCATGGTTTCCCTGCTCAAAAACAATTGCCATGGAAAGTACTTTTTGTATATACCATACAGCCAAGGCACAGATGCCTCTAGAGCAGTGGTTCTTAATCGGTGGGTCATGGCCCTTTGGGAAAACCTGTCTCCAAAAAACATTTGCACTGCAATTCATAACAGTAGTAAAAGTACAGTTACGAAGTAGTGACAAAAATAGTTTTATGGTTGGGGTCACCACAATATGAGGAAGTGTATTAAAGGGTCGCAGCATTAGGAAGGTTGAGAACCATTGCTGTTGAGCTTTGGTTCATGGGGACCAGTTTCTACCCACCCAGGGCTGGTAGCAGAACTTGGGAGCATTGTCCATATGGTACTTAGAAGTAAAGATGTACATTTGTAAAAATGCAAGATAGATAGGTTCATGGAGTTTCTTCTGTAGTTTCAGAGACAATGTTAGGCAAGACTCAACTCCTCCACTACATGAATCTGAAGATGATGTCTAAGTTGTAATAGTGATTCTTGGATGTTGGAGATGGAAGGATCTTGAGACTATATGTAATGCAGGCAGCAGAGTTTGGGGGTCAGATAATCCCCCCAATCCCTTTAAAGCCCAGACAATTCCATTATCAGTTGCAGATGACAGATGTGGGACAGATACAGGATTTGGTGTTTGATCTACTAAATTTGGTTCAATCATATGGCTCCATCCTTCCCCATAGAATGTGAATATTTATTCTGTACTACTGTGTATTGGAAGTGTGAGTTTCTGACTTAATAGCATTAAGACTGCCTTGAATTTCAGATTAGACTTGGACTTTGGACTTTTTTTTTTTTGGTTTTTTTTTCGAGACAGGGTTTCTCTGTGTAGCTTTGCGCCTTTCCTGGAACTCACTTGGTAGCCCAGGCTGGCCTCGAACTCACAGAGATCCGCCTGGCTCTGCCTCCCAAGTGCTGGGATTAAAGGCGTGCGCCACCACCGCCCGGCTTGGACTTTGGACTTTTAAAGTACTGGACTATTAAAAAACTATGAAGACCTACAGTTGTACTGAATGCATTTTGCATTATGAGATAGCCATGAACCATGGAGTGGAAGGTTATAGTTTAACAGTGATGTTTCCTTGTCAAGTTGGCTTATGATGATTAATGTTGTCAATGGGGCTTAGAATCACCATGAAAAATCCCTTGGTTAAGTCTGTGAGGGATAGTCTAGATTAGGTAAATCAAGTCCAAAGGCCACCTTAAATGTGGGCTGCATCATTCCATATCCCCCTTGGGGGGGTGTCGTCCTAGAGAGGAAGCGACCAGCAGCATTCATTTCTCTCCACTCTCTGACAGCAAGTGCTGGCTCACACCCCTGCTGCCACAATTGGCCAACTGTGAGCCATGTAATCACTTCTGTAAACTGCTTTGTCAGTTATTTTTATCCCAGCAACCCATAAAGGGATGCTAGCTGTGTAGAGGCTGCAGAAAGAATGTGGTACCACTGATTTGGGAATTCTCCTAGGATGTAATTTTAATCTCTGGCAAACTCCCCAGGAGAAGTCTTCCCTTGCTCTTTGGATGTCTCCAAGGAGGGGAAAGTGGGCCCAGGCTGAATGAAGGTGGCAGACCAAGACTGCTATTGGTGACCATGGAAGAAGGAACAAGATGCCATGTAGGCTTCTGGTGAAAGTCAGGGAGGCTGTACTTCAGCTCTGGTGTTCTGGACAAGAATGGGCCATTCTTAGCAGCAAAGGATGCCATCAAATGATTACATTGGCAATGTCCACCAGGCCCATATACGAAATGCCCACAAATGTGGGATGTGCCTGGTCACAGTGAGTGGCATAGAAAAAGCAAGTCTAGGTTAGGCTAATAAAGACTTGTAGCAGATATTTGGCCTTGATGAATGGCCAGGGGCCTGAAGATTGGTGACAAGGTGTGTAGGGTAGAGGTGTGTAGAGAAAAGGAGGAATGTGGGAAAGAACACATCCTGCTGTATCATGTTCATATTCAATAGGGAATTCAACCTTGGAATGGACACTTGGCTGCTTGGCCAGGGTGATCTTGGCATTGTAGTCATATAATCTGAGGGATGGGACATCTCACCAGTGACTCCAAAATATGATGTGACTTTGCTAATGTTGCTTGACTGTCCTGTCAGTGGGAGACATCAAAACTGAGATACTATCATGGAATCATTCCCAAGGATTATCAGCCTGGTAGTTCCTGGTGGTGGCCTGACTGTTCTAGTGAGAACTGATGCTCTCGGCCTGTTGCGGCCCATAGGTCCTCTGGTTTTATCAGGCTTGGGAGTCTGGAGTACCAGGGTGCTGCACTGGCCAGGAGACCCTTCACAGCAGAGGACACACCAAGGTGATAAGACCACAGGGCGCCTGACGAGTGTAGAATGTGTGTATGTGTCTGAGGTACGGTGAGTAGGTGCTGTTTTCTCACTGGTAGTACATACAGTACCCCAAAGACCTTTACGTTGCATCATATCTTCAGCAGGAACAAGGCATGGCCAGGCACTTGAGTGAAACAGGAGGCTCTTAGTTTTCTCCTGTCGATGGCAGCCATTCTGTCCTGGCAGTGATGGGGGCTGCAGCCCTTGGAAACAAGTATCCCAGCAGATTGAATATTAAGGCTAGCAAAAGGGGAGCTGTGGAAAGGCATGTGTGGATTGAGACCAGACAGGCTGTGGAGATGGATTTGTTCTACTAGCCTTGGCTTTTCTCATTTCACTGAAAAATATTTTGGTATCTGAAATAAGTTCGACTTACGGAAAAGTCTTGAAAGTTTATATAAGAGTTCCCCTTCCCCTACATCTTTCTAAGTTGCATTCTTGATAGGCTGCATGTTAAAATGTTAAAGCCCAGAAAATTACCACTGATTTCTCATTCTTTACTAGACTATATACATGGTACTGATCTTGCCAGCTTCCTCCCCGATGTCTTTTCTGTGACCCACGAGCCCACGTGGGGCCCTGTCGCATCCTTCACTGCCTCCTACACATCCTGCTGCTTCTGAGGAACACTGTTCAACAAGTACAGTACGGATCTGTCTGAGGGTTTCATGTTTACTAGACTGAGTGGTGTTCCTTGGCAGAGGGTCCTCAGTGCAGAGGCTGCAGTATCTCTGCATCTTCTGGAGGTGTTCTGAGGTCCATGTGCCTTGTTTACAGGTTGACTGCTGTAAAGGAGTATCTGCTACGCTTCTGCACTGCAAACAGCAAGAGGAGGCAAATAGTCTTTCCCGTCTTTGTAATTCTTGGGTGGTTTTGATAGAAACTTCTTATTGTCTAATGTCCTTCTTCAAAGTTTCTCTCAGGAAGAGGCACTTGAGGATTAGAACAGATGCCCCCTCCCTCAAATGTGCAAAAGGGCCGGGCGGTGGTGGCGCACGCCTTTAATCTCAGCACTCAGGAGGCAGAGCCAGGTGGATCTCTGTGAGCTCAAGGCCAGCCTGGGCTACAGAGTGAGATCCAGGAAAGGCGCAAAGCTACACAGAGAAACCCTGTCTCGAAAAACAAACAAAACAAAACAAAACAAAGTGCAAAAGGTGGATCTCAGTGGCCTGGGAATGCACTATGGTGGACAGAGACGAGCGGCTGAGGTCCCTTCCAAGAGAAATCTATTGCCCCACTTGGGAGTGGTGCGGGTGGCAGGTGGCTATCAGCTCCTCAGGGAAGACATTAATTAGTTCCATTACAGTGTTAATGGGCAACATTCTTCTTGTGAGGTCCACTCACGGTGATGATGGACATGAAGCAGCCATTCAAGTCCATGGGGGAGGATATACTTCAGAGCTGTGTGTGTGTGTGTGGCCACGGCTGCATCACAGCCTGATGTCCCCTCTGTCCTGTGTGACTGTCTTATCAGCTCTTCAGCAGGTATTCATTGCCCAAGACTCTTGAGTTCTGCCTTTGGAGAACCCCATGTCATTACTTTTTGCCCCAAGTTCAAGGACTAAGGAACGAGGTGTCCGTAGTTGCTTGTCAAAACACAAGCTACAATATTAGCATCAACTATTACAGATGAATTTGTTTAAACATTTTAAAAAAAAGAAACCACAGAAGTAGTGGGGAAACCCTTTCTTTTTCTTTTTCTTTTTTTTTTGGTTTTTCGAGACAGGGTTTCTCTGTGTAGCTTTGCGCCTTTCCTGGAACTCGCTTTGGAGACCAGGCTGGCCTCGAACTCACAGAGATCCGCCTGGCTCTGCCTCCCGAGTGCTGGGATTAAAGGTGTGCGCCACCACCGCCCGGCTGGGAAGCCCTGTCTTATCCTATGCACACTTCCCCTTTTTAGTGAAGGATTTTTCGAGTGTCAATATGGATAGTGGATACCAGTGTTACCTATGGGGATGGTGCACAATAATACATAGTTCACAGCCTTCCATGAACCAAACCAAACTGTTTGTATAGCTGGTATGGTAAGTCCCCACAGAATGGCACACTATATACACCGAGTATAACAATAACAAGCTAGATCTCCTCAGGATGTCTTCTAGAATGATTTTGTTTTAAATGGTACTCACAGACGCTCCTCCCATAATCTTGGGAAACATAACGGTAGAGCAGCCATCTGGACTCTGTCCGAAGGTGGTATAGGGTGTTTGAAACCAAGCCTTTTCGTTAGCCCAAACCACATCACAAAGAGGCAATATGGATGCTCCTAGTCCAATGGCTGGGCCATTAACTGCTACAATAATAGGCTTCTTAAACTGAATGAAAGTATTCACGAAGTTTCTAAAATGAAAAATAAATGGGGAATTACTGAAAACATTGCATATTTGAGCAGATGAAAAAAGTCTATCATGGAATTCAATTTACCAAGATGTAAAACTCTATGGAAATCATTAAGAGATGAATGAGATTTGCTTAAGGTGTTCTCTCTGAAGCTGTGGACCATGGGTTTATTTGCTGTATGTTGTATGTAAGGCTTAAAGACAGTCTGGCCATCACATGGGGAAAGGTGTTGCCACAAGTTCCATGCTAGTAGCGGGTGCCTGGGCTTTCTAGCCAATGTATCTTAGTCCTCAGCCCCAGAAGATCCAGGAACCCACTCACATTACAGGAGTCATGACCAACCAAGGAATGATCCTGATGAAGCTTGGTTCGGGACAAACCAAGAATGTCTGAAGCTGAGTGAACAATGGTGGGTTAGGTATCAGAGAGCATAGGGTCAGATCCAGCCTGGTATGTGACTTCTGACAGCTATCATCTGGAGAAAGCCTGATTTTATGCTGAACTAGATTGACTGACTTCCAGGAGATAGACATGGGCTGGCTTGAGACACTGGAGTACTCCAAGGCTTGCGCCTGCAGCCGACCAAAGGCTGCGGGAATCCCATTGCAGCAGAAGCTCAAAGGACTTCAATGCAAGGAGCAGGGCAGCCCTCACAGGGATAGCCAATGCTATCCTGGGGCTTGCTCATGGGTCAGGCTGAAAAAGCAGGTCACTTCTGGGGATGGGGAAGGTCAGTGTCACACCACATTGAGGATCCCTCTCCCACCTCTGGAAGCCAGCTGTGTATTCAGAGATGGTTCCATGTTATGATTTAACATAGTGAGGCAAAGAGAAAGAAGAAAAATACACAGACCGGAGTCCCTCACAGGTAGAATGAGCTACAGGTCAGAATGGAGAGCAAGCGGAGCTCTTCGTGACTGGTTTCTAAATCTGGGCCTACTCTTAGCACTGAAAAGGACCGACAAGTTGCTTTTCCTAAGTCACCGGTTTAAATGCTGCAGTGGTGAGCCTGCATCTCTGGAAATCACGACCCAGCAGTTTAGGTTGTCCCTAGCCCCTGACCTGCGGAACGGGCCACAGGACTTTTTTTTTTGGGGGGGGGGGGGGAGCTTAGTAAGGTGACCAACGAGGACTGCAGAGCTCGGCAGCTTATTGACCAGGCTGACTCAGGCTTGAGTAGAAGGCCTCCGAAGTTTGTGGGATCTGTGACTAGACAAGATGAACTCATTCAAATGAGTGGTCTGCACTAAGACTTCCTGAATGAGAAAGCCTGAGGCACCAGTGCATCATCCGGTACGAGGAGAGCCAGACAACCTTCGGAGCAAACTTTGGAAGCAAACCCAGTCTTACTGCCTTCTGCGGGTTAGGGATCACTAACTTGGGATGGGACTCCATATCCTATGCTGTCCCTGGCACCTTTTGGAAAGGTAACTGCTAAAATGGTGGTCTCCATGACAGGAGCAGATATTCCCAAAATAAGTGCTCCATGTACCCAGAGTGGCTGGCACAGTGCTGAGATCTAGAAAACACAACGGGATGGTAAATTAATGTGAAATTGATCATAATGCTAAAATAATTCTACATAGAAATAATAAAAGGATTTATAATTTATGTAACACTGCTATATCAGTTTACATGTCTGCATAAAAAATATGTTTTTAAAGTCTTGGGAAAAAAAAATCAAAACTTGGACTTTATTGTTGCTCAGAGTAACTTCAGCTGGCTCTTTCTGGGAAGCATCAGAATTCCAGTCTGGAACAAAGGTCTCCCCTTTTAAGCAGGAACTGACCACTGATGTGTGAACCTAGATTAACAGATAAAGACAAGGGCCACATAGAAAATCCCAAAACTCTAACAGCATCCTGTCTAGCAGGAACTTCCCAGGGCCATGAAGGCTTAGTCTTGGGAGCATCCAGCCCGGGGTGGAGTGTCCCCTGGCCTTAGGTTGGAGCCCTGAAGAGCCAGCACCAGAGGAAGGAGCTGTCTATTGCTTCTGATGAGAAAGGCTTGGTATTAAGCAAAATCTCTGCTGGAAGAACATTTACTAACTTAAATATCAAAATGTTAGCCAATCACATGAAAATCTAGGGACTGTTTGGGGGAAAATGAAGCAACGAGGATCCAGAGCTGTCACCAGCCGGTTTGCTGCCTTTCTCAGCCGAGTTAGATAGGACCGAGAGGAGGAGGAGGAGGGAGAGGAGGAGGAGCAGGAGGAGGAGGAGGGGGGGGAGAGGAGGAGGAGGGGGGAGAGGAGGAGGAGGAGGCAGGGGAGAGTCGGCTTCAGGGTTAGCAGAGCCACCTTCCACACAGGAGCGTCTAGGTGGCTGCTCTAGTCCTGGTCCACAGACTTCAGAAGCCAAGTGCTGTGACTAGGTTCCTGGTCCTTATGTCTTACCACCAATGCCTTGGACATTTTACTATAATGAATCTTCAAAGTGGCTACCAACGGGTCTGACAATGGAACAAGCTAGTGTTTAACTCAACCTTCCTTTCTGACTTTCAGAAACTCAAGACAATGAAGTCCCTCTGCCTCAAAGTTTCAAGGGGTTTGAGATGAGGGATACCACAGACACAAACACAAATGATCGAGAGAAAGGCTAATAGAATCTGATGTGACTTACTGTTTACCTGACCTGTTAAAGTGTATCAGAAAAGTTCCTATCAACAAGAATGCGTTTGCTTAAAGAAACAGGTTTTGCTGAAGCAGGATTTGGCTGTTTGCTAGAACACTAATCCAGCTTTATGACCAATGTGGGGAGGCTGGGAAAAGACATGAAGAAAATATATATTTAAAATTACCTAAAAGTTCAATAAATGAGACTATGTGAATCTGTCTTGATTTTTTTTGTGGGGAGGGTGTTTTCTGTTTTCCTAATTCCAACACCACTAGTCTCTGGTGCCACCCAGAGTAACTTATCACTGGAGGGAGGAGAAGGGGTGAGCCTTAGAAAGATTCATAAGTGGAGCTCAAGGAAAGCAGACCTGGAAAAAGGAGACAAACTTTGAGACATTGGCTGGTGAACCCTATTATTTTAATTTTGTTTTATCTATCTATCTGTCTGTCTGTCCGTCCGTCTGTCCCTAGGCCGGGGCTATCAGAACACACACTTTTCTGTGTGGCTCCAGTGTGAGCACATGGAAAACATGCAAAGCTGTCACAGGGGCAGGATGATCCGGATAAAAATGACTCTCAAGCTTCCGCCCTTGGTCCTGAATGGGGGCAGAGTATGGGGAATGGCTAAGGTCGTCTTGGATAGGAGCTGGGTGGCACTACTGGGTAAGTATGTAGTCCTACTATAACGCTGTTTCACAGGTACTGACAATCTGCCAGGGCACGTTGACCAAGCAATTTAATTTCCAACTGGAACAGAAGATTGTGCCATCTACTAGTTTACCACAAGTCTGAAATTATGTAGGAAACCAGAGATAACAATTCTGAATAATATTTAGTAAAATTATACAACTTAAAAATTCTTGGAAAAAAAAACGATCAAGTTATGATCATACTCAGAAAGATACCCAGCAGGCACAGTCCATCTTTTGAACATGATATTGTCATGTGCAAGTTTCATGCCTCAGAACTATGCAATCAAGTTATTAAAAACAATTAAGTTTTAAGCTTATGATTTGGTGTTGGGTTGCATTCATAGCTATCCTTGGCTGTGCATGGACCATGGGCTGGACACATTTGGAACAGATGGTGGATAACCTCCTAAATCCATATGTCTATTAATTTTGAAAATGATGAAATATGTTTGTTGTGTAAGGCCAAGGCAATGCCTCACAACTCTAAGGTGTGGGGCTCCAGGGCCTGTAGATAGCATCTCTGAGAGTCACCTGGGGGATCTATCAAAGACATGATCTGCCACACCTCAGACCCACCAACACAGAAACACAAACAGAAACCCATCCCTATCCTGCTCTGTGCCTCCAGGTGGCTTACAGGGGACCAGGAAGCCCAGTACGACAGTGACAATACTTAGCAACTTGGAGCCCATTAACTCTCAGAATCTCAACTCTAGCTCTACAGAGACCTGGCAGTTCAGGAGAAGATCCAAACTGCTTTCTTGCACTTGCAAGCCTGAAAGTCTTTGGATTTTCAATCTGCTACAAATGAGAAGGAAAACACAAAAGGGTCCAAAGGGGGCACCTGAGGATAATGTCCTTCTAGAGAGGTAGGCAGGGAAATATAGACCACCTTCCTGGTAGGTGAACTGGCTTTATTCACTCTAACTAAAACTCACCTCTGAAAAATTAAGACACTTTTACTTATACCTGCAGTGATTAGCACAGTAAAGGAGATGTGCTTACAGGAGGATCTGAAAGTTCTAGGGAAGGTGTCTCAACTATCAGGACACAGTAGTGAAAAAAACCAACCAGAGGGGAAATGGACATGTCTTCAGATTGGTAATGTTACATGGAGAAGGTGAGCTGCCAAGTAGTAGTATAACTTATATACTTAACAGAACTCAAACTAAATCTTTATTACCTGTGTGTGTGTGTGTGTGTGTGTGTGTGTGTGTGTGTGTGTGTGTAAAATGCTTATATTGGGAAGGGCATGTTGACTCTAAAAACATATTGTAGACTTGAAAACTGTTAAGAAAGTAGATTTCAAGCTGGGCATGGTAGTGGCCTGGACATAATCCCAGGAACTGGAAAGCTGAGGTAGGAGGATTGTAAGTTCAAGGTCAGATTGTCTATGCAGCAAGACCCTGTCTCAAAAAAACGGGGGTCGGGGAGAGAAGAAAGAAATGTCTTCAATGTTCTTACCACAGCAGAAGTGTGAGGGCCAACTTAAGTGAGTTAGCCATTTTACAATGTACATGTCTCAAAATGCAGTTTTTAATCATTTCAAAAACTTAAAAACATATTTAGAAAAGACTAGGAAGACATACAAATAAATAATCTATTTTCTGGGGTGAGCGTGAGAAAATGGGACTTTTAACAGCATTATTTACTTCTCTGCTAGAAGGGAGTTGGGGCAAACAAGAAGGTGTACTACTTATACTTAGAAAAAAAAAATCAAGAACCACATCCATTATGTGACCTTACGGACTGTCAAAACCTGGACAACTTCGAGGGAAGAGAATACACAGCACAAATACACAGAAGGCTAACGCACCACAATGCTCCCAGAATGCCCTGCGCTTAAGCCAACCCTGAAATCAGTGATCTGCCCAAGGCAAGTAGTAATTTATGCTGGGGCCATAGAGAAGGCAGAGGATTTAATTAATCATGCTACCAGTGCCTATTAGAGAAGATGCGCACTTTATTCCTGAGGCTTACACAGGCTTATTCTCTGAAGGACTGGTACCCTGCAAAACCCCCAGAGCTGGGCTGAAAACCCCCGTTTGTACTTACCTGATAGCATCTGCCATCTTAGTGCTTTCTCTCTTTCTGTCGTCCGTGAGACGCCGTATAAAATAAATAAAGTCCAGACCACAGCAGAAGACACTGCCCACAGCGCTGAGCAGCACCAGCTTGCTGTCGTCGGCTGCAGCCGTGCTCAGGGCACTCTGGACTTCTTTCATCACCTGGAAGTCACCACAAGTCCAAGTGGTCAAGAGCACTCTGGGTTCAGAATCCTACAAAGCACTGTCTAACGGGACAGTTGAGGTCTATAGAAAAGGCACCTCCATTTTGACAGGGTTCACTTCAGCCACCAGCACTGTATGCACTCTGCAAGCTTTATATCATCTAAGCAGAGGTCAGAGTGCTAGGGATGGAGTGGAACTATAACTTCATGGCGAATTAGAAACACCGGTGGAAAGGCAGGTGGATCTACACCACTTGGTTCTTCTACAGGCACCGTGGCTCTCAGCAGACCAGGCAAGCCACACAGATAGCTATGGGAATTTCTAGTTTGGACAGCAGGTGGCACATTCAGCCAGTTTCAAGAAATGAGTTAAGTTCTAGGGGTTTTGGCTGTTTAGTACCTGAGCACAACAGGGACAGGAGTCTAAGTCATTTGCTGCGTCAGTGCACTGAGTAGGGGTGCACCAGTGTGGGAGGGCACACACCACCTGAAACGACCTCCAAGAAGCATTTGCAAGTAACTAAAAAAGGTACCCTGTAGTCTAAAAGTGGACCAAGGACCAGCCCTGTTTTGTGACTCTGGCCAGATACCCACTTGCCCAAGATGTGCACAATGGCAGTCAAGCAACCGCCAGAACTCAAAACTCTGGTAAAGTACAAGTTCAAACACATTGGATTCTAGAGCCTTCATGGAACTGGTTTCCAAACTCTGCAAACACATTACTCTGGGTCACTGAAAGGTCCCTTCTACTAGGTACTACTGACAAGGACATGTGTCTGCCACAATGCTAATAGCATCTGTGCAGCAGGATGACAGTCAGATTCTTTAAAGGGACTAAGACCCAGGGGACCTTTGTCTGAACAAAGAACCCATCAAGATTCTGATGAACGCTAAAGCAAAGCCCATGTGTACACATTTCCACATGACTTTAGGGAGGCCACATGGTCACCGAGCCCTATGATCTACAGATGACTTTGGGGGAGGGGGATGAAGAGGGGAAGGATGCAGCTACTACGCCCACTTCAAAGCCATAGTTCCCACAGCAGAGAATGGAGTGGCTGCTCAGCACCCTCCTCCTGTGAGGTGTTACTGTGGCCAAAAGTGTGAGGAGAAGCTAAGCTGTTACTTTCCCCAGAAGGCTTAGAAAGATCACAAAGAGTGCCACTCAGCAAAGCAGGCCGGGACACCAGGGGCACAGAGAAGCATGAAGCCACAGCCTGGGGCGTGTCTCTCACCTCTGGGTTTAGTGAGTTATTCTCTGATGATTTTGTGGATAACAAGATGTGGGTGAAGCCATCTTGCTTCCTGACGACAATATCTCTGTATCTGTAGGCACTCTCTGTCTGCCTCACACTGAAACGCAACCGCTTGTCAAAAGGCTGGTCTCTTCTGTCGTCAATAAATTTCCTTTTCCCGGCTGTCACTCCTGTAACAGACGTCTGTATGGTGGCTGTTCCATTGGCTGTTAGCGCATCCATGAACGGAGATGTACCTGCCAAGAGTTTGAAATCACAGTGGTCTGTGATGTCCTACCATCAATCAGTTTCCAGTGTTGCCTCTGATTTAGATCAAGATGCCCATCACAAACCCAGGACTTGGCTATTAAAGGCCAACACAAATTAGAAGCTTGCCCAAGTTTACTTTTACTTTTAAAAACATCACCTTCTTGTCTATCTAGTGTTCAAAAAGAAAAACGCTGGCCATGTACCCACTGAAAGGAAGAGCCAAAGTCTGAGCCTTGTCAAGACTGAGACTGAGTCTCAAGGAGAACAACACGCTCCAAGTCTGAGAATTTAAAAAGGAAAGGGAGACTGACTGATGAAGACCTGAAGAGCTGAGACTATCTCCCATCTAAATTCAAGAAGAACCAAGAGAGATGCAGAGATGAAGCCATGTGTCTTAGCAGGCCTATGGAGAAGTGGCCACTGTTCCCTGTGGATATTACAGACAGCAAAGACTTCTTCTTTCTCATGCTGCCCCAGAAGATGCCTAGGAGGTCTATCTACTGGACCCATAATATTTTACCAAGTCTTTTTTTTGTTGAGACAAGGTCACACCATGTAAGTTCTGGCTATCCTGGAACTCACTATATAGACAAGGCTGGCCTTGAACTCACAGAGATCCCCCTGCCCCTGCCTCCCAAGTGCTGGAAGAATTAAAGGCATGTGCCACTATGGCTGGCTTCCATGTTGTTCTTTAACTTAGCACAGGTTCTGAGCAGAGGTTGGGGAGATCTATTGAAGATAGCTCTCCTTTCCCCCAGCACTGCCCCATCATGCACCACTGTTCCTCAGCATCAAAATGGATGCTGTTTTTCAACCAGCCTTGGCACATGATTCCTCAACTTTTCTTTCTCAGTGCAAGCGATCAAACTCAGGGCCTGCCTCATGCGTGCTGGGTACATGCTCTACCATTAAGCTACTCTCTGATCTGCAACAATTTATTATAATAAAGTAGACAGTAACGTGCCCTGACCATCATAACAGGAGGAAACAATACCACCTGCTTTAAGTTTTGCAATAAAAACCCTTCAAACTTAATCTTTTGACAGATCTAAGCAGGATATAAATGCACACATTTTAAGAATCTAAAAACAGAGGCTAAAGAGATGTCTTAGTGGTTAAGAGCACTTGTTGCTCTCCCAGAGAACTCGAGTTCAGTTCCCAGCACCCACATAGCAGCTAACAACCACTTGTGACTCCAATTCCAAATGATCTTATACTCTTCCAGAGTCTTCAGGCATTGCATACACATGGTACAGAAACACGCGTGCCGATAAAAACACTCATACACATAAAACATTTTAAACATCTGAAAATAAGCTGAGTATAGTGACACACACTGGCCACCCTGGCATCAGGAGGCAGAGACAGGCACACTGTAGACCCGAGGACAGTCTAGGCTTCTCCCTCCCCTAATCTAAAGCTATGGCCAAGATATGTGTTAAAAAGCCTTCCACCCCACTGATGAACTCCAGGCCAGGTTTTCCAAGGTGCTCTTCCAGACTCTTTATATGGAAAGAAACAGGAGCATCTGTCCCTCCTCCCTCCCTGTTAAAGAACAGGTGCTGGGATAGATATCATCCCACCCGCAGGGTCGTATACACACTGTTACTTTTGCTTTTCCTTGTCATTCACTTGCTATCAGGACACTACTAGTTCTTAGGAATCGCTGTGAGCCACATTAGAATTTATTTTCCCAATTCACACTGGAATAACCACTAATGTTCAATGGGCTAATTCTATCAGCAGTGGCCTGTATGACTCCCATACAGGCAAACCCAGACTGCATGATTCTAGAGGATCTGTGACTTCAAGTTTTTCATTCCTGAAAAGAACACCCAATGGCACCTGTCAGGCAGGATGTTGTCGAATCTTTCTGAAAGCTTTTAAGCTTCATTTTCTTCTCTGCCAAATCCTGCCCAACTGGTGCTCAAACCCTGCACCAACGGCTTCTACCCAAAGCTCTCCGCTCTTCTTTTCAGCACCACTGCCAGGCCTACCACAGCATCCCAGGTCTGCACTTGCCCCACATCCTCCTTGGCCCTCCATTCCCTGACTCAATTCAGAGTCAACATGGCCAGGTAATTCCTTGAGTACAGAGACATGGACCATGTGTGATTCTGAATTACTGAGCTCATTCATATGGGGAATTGAGAGTTAGAGACACCGGCTTTACCCAGGGTGAGCACATTCACGGGAACATGCTACACAGCTCAGAAGAGGGGCTGGGGCATCCTGGGTTGGAGGTCAGTATATGGGAACTGATGTCCAAGATGATGCTGAGGTGGTCCCTCCACAGGAAGAGCAACGGTCTGTAGCAAGGTTGGGTTAACATGATCAAGTACATCACATGCATGTATAGCAATGTCATAAGGAAACCCACTACCTTCTACAATTGGTACACACTACTCATTTCAAGTACAACTCTTAAAGCTAAAAATGTAAAATGACCGAAGGCTGGACATGGTGGCGCATGCCTTTAATCCCAGCACATAGGAGGCAGAGGCAGGAAGATTTCTTTGAGTTCAAGCTAGTTAGGGCTACACAGTGAGACCCTGTTTTAACAAACAAACAAACAATTAAGTAACCAGTAACTTCTGGCTCACTGTGCTAGAGAACTATGATGATTCCAGATTCTGGGGATGCTGATATCTACCCGTGAATAGCACGAGGCACGCAGCCATGCACTAGATAGGAAGTGCTCATATGAGGCTGACCTTGACATCACATACTATCGGCACCGTGTTAAGTCCCTGCCTATCCTGACTGCCTACAGCATCTGTGCCCTTCTGCTCTCACTCTGGACAGTCAGCCATGTGTTCTCACACCATCCAGGTGTGCGCTCACTAGAGGACCTCTGGACACACTATTCCTCTGCCTAGAATACCGTGTCCTAGAACTTCAAATGGCCAGATTCTTCTGCTCACCCAGTCATCACCTGCAAGTCTTTCTGGACCTCATCACCCCATGCTGCCCCCTTGTCATTAACACCCACACCCCCTTTATTGGGCCCCTAAAAGCAGTTTTTCTCATTGCCCTTTCATACATAATATTTACTACTGGTATACTCCATGAAGGCCTGTGAGGGCAGGGTCGCTATTGTATCATTTACCTCTGTAGCCCCAGTGCTCACAAACTCAAAAGGCCTTCATTTCTTCAAAAGTTAGTTACAAAGTCCAGTTGTCACACAGCTAATCAAGTTCAACCCTTGGGAGCAGGACTGCGCTGTAACAAGATCTTCCACACTGCAACACTCCCTTTTAGAAGAAGGTGCCTCAGAAATCAGGGAGTAGGCAGACTCCCCAAGTCTCAGAAAGCTTCGCCAAACTTTTCGGTTTCACAAGGCCCCCAGCCTGGAGGTGAAATAAGCAATACCAAGGCTGAGGAGGGGACACGGGGCTGTGGTGCTGCCTCAAGCAGTGGAGTGAAGCCCAGGAACGTGGCTTTCCGGTGATGCTGCTGCTCCTGGAGTAACCCCAGTAAACTCCCGGGCTTCTGTATGGTGGGTGGACGCCTCACGCTGACGCTCTTTGTTCACAGCACTCCAGTCAAACCACACACCCGTAATCAACTGCCAATGACTGGAGGCCCAGGAAATACTATTCTTTACACCATAAACAGAAAATCCAGGGACTCACAGGGGTGGCATTTAGGAAAACACAGGCGTCAAAGTTGCCTCTGAGAATTAACCGCGGACACTCCTGACCATCAATGTCTTCCCTTAAATTAGGAGCATAAAATCTGTCAAGCAAAGAAATTTATTTCTTTTTGAATACTTGCTTTTTCTTTTACTGACTGAAGAGAGTTAAAGACACTTTCAAACATGGGTGCTTAACCTGCTTACTATCCCGACTTTAATGGGGGCAGGTGTCTAAGAATGCCTGAAATCTGTTTCCAATCTAGAAAGGTGCTGTGCTTTCTTGTCTCTGGTAGTGACTAGTATTATGGTCTGAATTTAAAAATGTCCCCCAGCGGACATGTTTTTGAGCATTGGGAGACTGTGCAATCTTTACGAGGTGAGACCATACCCAGAATGGGTGGTAGGGCACTTGGGCAAACCTTACTAGGTTGGACCTGCCCCTGGGTTCTGGGAAGTTCTCTCAATTTTTTGGCTTGCCAGGATGTAAGTAGGTTTCTCCTGCCACCATGAACTGAGTGGTTGGTTCCCCCATGCCTTTCTATTGTGATGACCGAGATCCTTCAGAAACTGTGAGCCAAACCCTCCATCTCTTCCTTAAGCTGTACGGACCACAGCTAACAAAGGCAACCAGAACAACTAGCAACTAATACAACAATATTCAAGTATCTATCTCCAGACTCTGGATAGCAGGCAGGGGGGGGGGGGGCAGTGTACTGGTCTAACAGCTTTCTACCCAAGGGTAGAGGAAAACACTGATGTGCATACAGATGTTGTGAGGCAGCATATAGGGAGAGGAAGTTCCAGGACTTGTTCGGGATTCCTTTGAGTCTTGGCCCAATACCCGTCTGGATATACATAGGGGAAAATTATATTAAGTCTGGTAGGGAACAACTTGAGGATAGATCAACTCCTAGAGACATAAACTGGGTAATTTTCAGAGTTTACACAGGGCTGGTAGCCCTCAGAAGCCCTGATGAGAGATGTTACATGTAGAGCAAGGCACAGGCACACGTCAGCAGTAAATCTACACTGGTCTAAGATAAAAGATGCTCAGAACTGCACAAAAGTTACAGTGAGCCAGAACAAGTTAACACTTCTAAAACTATATAAAAGGATTGGGGAGATGGGTAGTGGTTAAGAGGGCATTCTGTTCCACATCGGGTGGCTCATAAGTGCCTGGAACTCTGGCTCTAGGTAACTGGATGCCTCTGGCCTCCACTGGCACCTGCATCCCCATGCACATACTCACACACATACATGTAATTTTAAAAACACACACAAATCTTTAAATATGATAAAACCCAACACCCTAAATTGTAAAAGCCACAGTATCCAGCAAGCAACCCGAGC